ACAACCTCTCTCCCTCCCTTGCCTTAGAAATCACCTGGTTTCCTGCTTCTGATCCCTTTTCCACATCGCCTATAATTAGGGTTATAAAAATGCAAACAGATGATGCCCACTACGCTCAGAATGGAATGCAAACTCTTGTAGTGTGATGTATGCGACCATCTGTGATCTGGCCTCCAACCAATATCCTCCTCTCCGCTCACTTTTCACACCCCTCTTAGCTTTATTGAAAAATTAGAGCTTCTTTCACCAAAACGTAAACAGAGCAGAATTCACTCCTGTTTTTGCTAAGACACTGTCACATTTTAATTGCTTGGGCATTCAATTCTGTTCTCTGCAGTACAGTAGAGAAATAAGAGCTTAAGTTTTATATCCCATATCTGCCATCTACTAGGTGTGTGGACTTGATCAACCTGCTTCGTATTTTTGTGTTGGCATTTTTCCATCTATAAAGTGGGGTACTAAAAGTTCTCCCATCCTGCTAGGTTTAAGTGAAATAATTCGTGTAAGGACTTAGAACCACCTGGTGCATATCAGCCCGCATTGGATGTTAGCTGTTGCTATTGTTACCACCGTTTTTATTCTTTTCATTCATGCAGCACTGGAACTATAAGAAATTTGCTATGTGTATTTTTAGAACCCACAATGACTTTATGAAGAAAATAATTCCAGCCCTGTTTTCTAGGTGGAGCCGTAGAAGATTAGAGACTGGGACTTGCCGTGGCCATCATTTGCTGATGGAGGGTAGATACAGAATTCAAATGCCAGAGTCCTAAGCCTGGCTTCCTTGTTTCTTTATGCTCCTTGTTAGTGTGAGTTTACCTGGGAAGCCAGAACAAAATAGCACAGATAGGGGGCTTCATCCACAGAAATGTATTTCTCCCAGTTCTGGAGGCTGAGAATTCAGCATGAGGGTGTCAGCAGAGGTGATTGCTTTGGGTGCTCTTCTACCTGGCCTGAGGATGGTCAACTTCTTGCTGCTGTTTCCTCTATGCACCTGCTCCCCTAGGCTCCCTGCGAGCCCTAATCACATCTGTTTATCAAGACATCGGTCAGACTGCATGAGGGCCCAGCCCAAACCTCATTTTAACTTACCACTTTTTAAAAGGCTTTGTCTCTAAACAGCAATATTTGGAGGTATTGGGAGCTGCCCTCAAAACAGGCATTTTAGAGGAATGCAATTTAGCCCTGATGTGGTGAATTTGATACTTGAACATCAAAATGGTCTCTATTGAGAATTATATTCAGTTCTCATACTGGATTCGAGTCGTTCTGAGGACTTCTTCATTTTTATGCTTTTGACTTAGGTATAAGGTTTTTATTTCTGAGTATTTAAATCTCTGATTCTCCATATATATTTTTTTCAGTTCAGTTTTCTTTACCTTGGAGTTTTCAGGGACCCAGGTCCTATGAGCATTTCTTTTCTCTGTATTTTCAACTTAAGGGCTTCTGTCACCTTCCACAGCTATTAGTTCAGTTCTGCTGCAGAAAAAGAATCTAAATATCATTTTGACTTTGATCTCTGTTTCTGAAAGTTAAAATTTAGAATTTTCTTATGCACTTGGAGCTGCTTTTACCAGGTGAACATGTACCTAGACTTAGATGTGAATTTCATGATCATTGAAATTTCTTATAGAGATGTTAAATTCAAAAGGTTAATGTAGGCGCCATACTGCTCTCTTTTAAAGTATATATTTAATTTAATTTTTGATTAACATTTATTAATTGTATATATTAATGAGGTTCAGTCTGATATTGCAACACATGATGTATGTAGTATGCATTAATCAAACCAGGGTAATCCGCCCTTCCATTTTCTTATCATTTCTTTTGTGTGAAGTTACACTTTTTAGATATTCAGGAAGTGTGTAATAGATAATAGCAGAAGTAGACATCCCACTGTACTGCAGAACACCAGGACGTCTCTGGAACTGGTCCTAGTACTCCTCATACAACCTCCTTTACTCTTCCTCCCACCTGCCCAGCCTCTGTTCATAACTATTCTACATCCAGGTCAAGTGTTTTTAGCTTCCAGATATGAGAGAGAACATGCAGTACTTGTCTTTCTGTGTTCCATTCATTTCACTTAACACATTGCCCTCCAATTCCCTCCATTTTGGTGAAAATGATGGGCTCCATCCTACATAACTCAGTAACATTCCCTTGTGTTATCCGCCACATTTTCCCCATCCACTCCTCTCTTGATGGGCACCTAGGTTGATTATATATCTGAGCAACTGTGAATAGAGCTACATTAAACGCAGAATTGCAGGTATCTCTTTAGCACGCTGAATTATTGTCCTTTGGATATATATCTAGAAGTAAAATGGCTGGGTCATAAGGTAGGACGACTTGTTTCTTATTGGTAAGTTTTTGAGATCCTTGTATATTCTGGCTGATAATGTTTTGTGAGACGAACAGTTGGCAAATACTTTCTACCATTCTATAGATTGTTGCTTCTTTTGTTGTGCAAAAGCTTTTTATGGAGATGTTAAATTCACATTTACAATACAAATTTTATGTAATCCTATTTGTCTAGTTTTGCTTTTGTTGCCTGTGCTTTTGGGATCATATCACAGATATCTTTCAATTTTTGGGTGAAAGTGTTTTTGGACTGGGAATCAAATTTAGCACTTCGTGCTTGCCGGGCAGGCGCTACGCCACGGAGCTATATCCCCGGCCCTCCGGGTTAAATTTATCCTAGCTTAAATTTATTTATTTATTTCATTTAGGGGTAGCTGTTGTGAATGGGATCATGGTTTCTTTCTTAGCAAGTCTGTTATTACCATATAAAACGCTACTGTGTTTTGCACGCTGATTTGTATCCTGTAACTTTGCTGAATTTATCAGTTCTAATACTCTGCTGCAAAATCGACACCCCTTTTTTCTCAATTGATGAGATAAAATCTTGAGCCTTTTTCTAACTGAAAGCAAGTTGTGAGTTGACTTGGCCAATTCATTTCCCAAGCTTATGTTTTCAGATTAAGAAAATGAGATTGAATTATTTTTATTGTCACGCTCAATGAGCAAATTGGATTTTTCATATTTCCAAAGGCTATATTGCATTTTCTAGGTACAGATAAGAATAATTAATTTTATTTTGTTCTAAAATTAACAGATTTGAAATATTAAGTCCTATTTTTACAAAGTAACATGTTAGGTAGTGATGATAATAACAGTGCTGTCATGTGTCGGTAAGCATTTAAACAGCTTCTTTTCAATCAGAGTAAAATGGAATATATATCATGAAGTACAAAATTATATTCTACTCTGAGCTCCAAGAGTCTCTTTGGAGAGTTCAAGTATTATTGAAACTGATTGTATGGTACATTTAAAATATGATTTCTAAAATTTAAATGCTACCAGGAACTTTATAAAGTGTTGAATATCATTGGAGTTTTTGAGTTTTCTGCTTCTACATGGAGTGATATCAAACTGATTATGGTAATTTATGAATGATGCTTCAGATAATTAAATCTGGGAGCTATTTCTGCTTGTTATATATATTTACTATCTTCTTAACAATATCTGTAAAATTGTCAGAGTTCTGTGTGAAGATCAGTAAATATAAACAACTGAAGATAAGAAAAGTGAAGTGGAATATCAAAATACAAAGTGTACATGAGTAAAAGTGTTTAACTGTTATATCTACAATTGGAATAATCTTCATTTAATTTTCTAAGTACTCTTCAAGTATTAAAAAGTATGGGTTTTACCAAAACATTGTTAAATGCACATATCTACATTATATGTGTATATGTATACACACACACACACATATATATACATATATACTTTAAGTATTTTAACTTGAGAGGTGCTGGTCAGACACTCAGAAAACAATAAAATCACCGGGGCTGGGGATTTAGCTCAGCGGCAAAGCGCCTGCCTGGCAAGCGCAAGGTCGTGAGTTCGGTTCCCGGTACCAGAGAAAAACCAAAAAAAAAAAAAAAAAAAAACAACCAATAAAATCACCTACACAATAAGCACATGTAAGATTTAAAACTTTCACCACTTTCCATAATTTTACATAACATAAAATGCATTCATTTCAAATATACAATTTCTATAACATACGATTTGTTCTTTCAAGGTGTACAATTCAGTGTTTTGAGTAAATTCCTAGAGCTGTGTGACCATTGTCACAGTCCAGCTCTCGACCCTTTCCTTCCGCCCCCACAGACCTCTGCTGTCTGTCGCCCTCGCTCCAGCTTCCCTCTGCAGCCACAGGCAGTACACATCCATTTTGTGTACTTCCAGATTTTCTTTCCCTGGACTTTTCCTGTAAATGGAATTGCACACTATGAAATTTGTGTGTGTGTGTGTGTCTGTCTGTCTGTCTGGCTTCCTTCTCAAAGCACAATGCTTTGAGAGTCACTCATACTACAGCAGGGGTCATTGCTTGGTAACTTTCTATTCCAGAATGGCATCCGATTGTACAGAAACATGATACCATTTTCATTTACCCACTACAGTAACCAACTTTTAAAAAATATATATTGTGGAAACTGAGGAGAGAATCAGGGCATAAGGATAGGGGAGTTATTATTTCCAATTTCATATGGTTTTAACTTTTAAATTTCAAAATATGTCTTACAAGCAAAACAGTGGATATAAAATAAAAGCAGGAAGACTTCTAGTGACCCAAATGCTACATTCCTTCACGTAGTCCCATCAGTTTACCTTTTGCATCTGTCTGTACTGTACATATACACATGTGCATGTAGTGTATAGCTGTACACGTCCGTATACATCTAAGCAGTGACATAGTTTGTGTTTTAACAAATGGGGAATCAGAGGGCTTAATATCTTAACATGTGCTTACTAACACTAAGAAAAGCATTTTACTGACCTTGTTGGATTGGGACATATATGAAAGCTATTAATAGACTAATCTGTCTATGTACTCACAGTGGAGAAAAGTTAAGATCTGTGGGCTCGGTATCTTATTAGTTATTATAGCCAACATTTTAACTTTAAAGGCCCTCTGCATTTTCTTGCAGGATACTTCGGATCTGCTTGTGAAGAGAAGGTAGATCCCTGTGCCTCATCACCCTGCCAGAACAATGGCACCTGCTACGTGGATGGGGTGCATTTCACCTGCAGCTGCAGCGCGGGCTTCACGGGGCCCACCTGTGCCGACCTCGTGGACTTCTGTGCACTCAGCCCGTGTGCTCATGGCACCTGCCGCAGCGTGGGCACCAGCTACAAATGCCTCTGTGACCCAGGTTGGTATTGCCTGAGACCACATTCTTTTCTCTCTCCAGTCTCAAATGACTGTCAGTTTCTCTTTTGTATCTCAGTAAATGTCAGTGCACGGGGTGTGGTATACTTGGAAACAGAAGTGAATTCCACTCATTTATAATACATTTGATCTTTAGACTTACTCTTGGGAGGGCTTTAAAAATATCTTACCCTCCTCTTTTTTTGGTTTTTCTCCAGTACCGGAAATTGAACTCATGACCTTGCGCTTGCCAGGCAGGCGCTGTGCCACTGAGCTAAATCCCCAGCCCCTATCTTTCCCCCTTTACACGAGCAATCTACATTCATGGTAGAAAAATTTGAAAATACTAGAAAAAAAAAGCAAAATAGAGAAAATGACAACAAGCTCAATCTTATAACTGGGTAATTATTTTTAGCAATTTACTATAGGTCATTCTAGAGTGTTTGCTGTGTGGGATCTTTTTCACTGTTGTGAATTTGAGTTAATGGAATAGGTTTTCCATTTTAATGTACATGAAAGGCATGGTGCAATTCATTTATAATTGTGCCATATTAAAATCCTTACTGTGGGCACAGTATGTCCCACTTCTGACTCCCTGTGTGAACATTCAGAAGCTCCATCATTTATTTTGCAGATGTCTGCATTTATAGTACTGATTTGTAATAATGGAACTTCTGATACCCAGAAGTCATCGTGATGATAGTAACAGTTTGTTTCTTCCCAGTGTATCAGTGTTGTCTGAAAAGAGCACACGGGCAACCCTTCTGTTTTTATCATTTTTGTTCTGCCCATGTCTCCATCCTTGCATGGGCCAGCTGTTCAGAGTGCTTCCCCGCACAAGCCCCACACGTGGTCTGGAGTAGGCAGCACCGCTGGCCAGCACCTAGCTTTGCTTGAGCCCTGCCTCTCCATCACTGCATCTGACCTGGCACACTTCTGAGGCTCAGTTTCCTCCCTTGAATTCCAACACCAACCCACACTATCACTCCCATGATCTTTGCAACACTCTACAGTTGTGTGCTGCAAATGGTGTTTTGACAGCGTGTCACTTTTTTTGGTACTGGGAATTGAACTCAGACCCTTGTACTTGCCAGGCAGGTGCTGTGCTGCTGAGCTATACGCCCAGCTGCAAATAATATTTTGGTCCATAACAGCCCATGGTGATCCCTTAGGACTATTCAGCCTCTTTACATCCTATTTTATCTTGTACAAGAACATGCTATGATATTTATACAACCAGACAGTCCGCCAACAATATACAGGTTGTATTCCCATCCTTAAGTGACAATGACTGTATTAATTATCCTTGTGTGTGGGAGGAAGTGTATCATTAAAGTAGCTTTGTATGGACAATAACCCCAAGCCACCATTGAGGAAGCAGTCATCTTTCTAGGTTCCAAGCTGGAAGAATCACAGATCTGCTTCTTTTGGGATGAAATTCATGCTGAAGCTTGAAATGCCTCTGGAATTTCAGTCCCATACCTATCACCACATCCCAGCAGGGGGCCGAGCTGAGATTCCAGGAAGGTGCTCCTAGCTCTGTGGCCTCAGTGCATGGCTCAGAATGTCCAAGGGACACACCTGATACTCACGAATCAATGAAGGGACTTAGTGGGAAATGCAAGCAAGCATTTGAAGGGTGGTGAGAAGCCTTTTTCACATAGACTCTTAATTCTCTCATTTTCTGAGCAATTGATACTTTGCCAAGTTCTTCTTTCCTTTCTGCTCTGAAATACAGAGGAGGGGCTGTTTAAGCTGCCTGGTAACAGTGTTAGGATTCTCCAGAGGAACAGGAGGGGGAGAGACAGAGAGACAGAGCGGGAGATTTATTTTAAGTAACTGGCTCATGCAATTGTGGAGACTGGCAAGTCTACACTCCACAGGGGAAACTGGCGGGCTGGAAACTCAGGCAAGGTTTCTGTGTTGCGTATGGGGGCTGAATTCCTTCCTTGCAAAACCTCAGCCTTTGCTCTGATAGTCTTCAAGGGAGTGGATGGGGCCCGTTCACATTACCCAGGGCCATCTGCTCTCCTGAAAGTCTGCAGATGTAAATGTCAACTTCATCCAAAAAGTACCCTCGTGGCAACATTTACATTAGTGTGTGAGCAAATATCTGGGCTCCACGGCCTGGCCACGTTGACGCGTGAAGGTAACGATCACGGTAACACTTTGGGATTCCTCATTGTGCTTGCAGTGAGGATGTCTCTTCAAGTCTCTGAATGTCATGAGGGCACTTTTCTGGGTTTGGACCATCTTCGTCTGCCTTGTGGAGATGGCAGCAGTTGCCCGCAAGGGCCCCATTTTCATCCCCCTGGATAAGGGTGAATGTGCCCTGGATCAGCATGCTGAGGAAGGAGGCAGCAGAGCGCCGTGCCCTTCCCTGATGGGAACACAGACATCCAGGACAATTTTGTGTTTGTCAACTAAGCAAGCCTTGATGGCGCTAAGGAGAGCAAAGTCTCACTCGCGGCGTGACTCACGGGCTTGCTGTCCAGACACTCTGCTGGAGATTTCGAAACACGTGGAGTCATGGCCTTCAGCGGGAATCGGAAGTGAAATCTCTCCGTCAGGAACCCTCCACGCTCCACTCTCTGGCTCCTGGGAGTTCCGTTTCCTCTGTGAAGCCCACCAAGAAGAATCAAACAGTGCAAGTGGGAAAATAACTTCATTTTCTCCACCCCTTCTCCTCTGACTGCCTTTCTTGACTGTGTTAAAATTCCCCTTCTGCTTAATTGGTTTACTTTTAAAACTTTAAGTGGAATGAAATTACTTAAAGATAAAGGTTTCTTCTTAACAATACCAAGTAGAGTTTTTCAACACATGTCCAGGAGATTACATGATTCGAAGTATGAATATTTCTTTCTCATATTTCTCTTGCCACCCTAGGAGAGGTTACTGATAGTAGCAGAAAGGACATGTATGTGTCTGTGAAATCCCTGCCTCCCGCCTGTGAGCAGAGATTTGCGGGGCCTCTTTGGGCCTTAGCTTCTTCCTCAGTTGGGAAACAGAGGGGGCTGTGTTTTGAGAGCACTGAATGAGAGGCACGTAGCCCCTTTCCTGGCACGGGGCAGTAAAAGCTATTCATTCTCTGTTTTTTCCATCTGCAGAGGTTCCAACCGCATCCTTCGAGCCACAGAGTGGTGAAATAGCCCCCATTAAATTCCACCTTTCCCCCCTCTGTCCTCTGTTGAAACTCCTCCCAGGTCCCCTTGGAGCATTTGCCTCGGTAACCACCTGCAGTCCCCAAGTAACCACGACAAACCCAGAGAAACCCACATCCAGTCCTTGGTACCTTCGCCTGCCGCGCAGTGTCTCGGAGGAGCCATGAGGCTCCGCCTGGGGTTGGTCTCGGATTCGGAAGACAGTAACATCACTTTCAGAGAGGGTGCGTCCTCAGATCATTAGGTGACATTGTATGAAATAAAAAAGGCATTTTAACATCTGGCGAGAATTTACATTTTAAGAGGTGAACATGACAGGTCTGTGAATGTGAAATTTCTTGTCTTAATCTTTTGGAGCATGTAATTGCTTTACCAGTAGTTTTGCATAATAGAAGAATCTCTTGAGACTGGGCGAAATTGGGTGTCTAGCGGCACAGCAGCGAGCCCGATTGTAGATAGCAAATGGATCACATTTTATACTGACGGCAGATTGGAATCATGTCAGGTTGATAATTAGTTCCCATCTGAAAAAATGCCATTTTGATTACTGCAAATCAGGTTTGTCAGGTGCTTTATTTTCAAGTTTCAGTTTTAGTTTATCCAACCAGGGATTTCTGATGGGGTTTTAATATTAAATAATAAAATGTCAGCCCTGAGTAATCACTGAAATGTGATCCTCCAGTGACAGTGTTAAGTGATAGGTCTTCTATTAAAAAAGATTAGAAATTGAAATGCAAAGGTCAGGAGGGAGTGAGAGTGTGGAGCTGCTGCAGAAAGGAGCAGGTGGCACTTGCCAGGGGTCACCCCACTGTCCTTGAGGTGAGTGTGGTTAGTTTTGTTTTTTCACACAGTGGTAGCATGTGGAGATGGCCATCTGGAGAATAAATGCTGTGAGTGACCAATACTTCAGGCATCCTCTGGGAGGAAGGTGTGTAGTTTGGCTAAATTCATTGATCTTAGCCCCTGAACTCAGCCATACCACGTACCCTGTGCTAGAATATTTTTACATGGAGATATATATGTCAATTTTTATTTTCTTGAAAAAACCCTTCGGTGTCCATCAGTTCCGCTGCATCTAGGCTCTGAGATGAGAGCTGGGACGGTCACTGACCACCTTCCTCTGCCAATTTTTCTACACCGAAAGGCTGGTAATTAACACTGCACAATAAAGGAAGTTTAGGTTTCACTCAAATGAAATGCTTTTGTTTCTTTGCTAAATACTCCCCCCCTTCCTCAAGGAAATTATATTTATAGGAATTTTAGATACTGTTTTCCACATTTGTCTTACTTGTGGGCTGCCTTTGTGGTGTCTGTGGCCCATAAGCAATACACAGCTGGTATTGCTTCCTACTGTTATATTCAGACTTGGCAAAGACAGTACTCTTGACAGTGTCTGCTGAAAACAGAATTAAAGATAGGACTTGTTAGTCAGTATTTTAATGGCAGTTGAACAGCAATAAAGAAATTTCCAGACCTAAAACGATATGAAGAACATAGAGTCCTCACTAAAGAATGCCTCGATGAATTTAGATTCTTGGAGGAGCATGATGGACAATTTTCATCTCTTATTGACCAGATGGTGTTATCTGGTTCACCAGGATGAAGACAGTTTTTGTGATTGACATGTCTAGGAGGTTCTTGATCTGCATGTCACTTTATTCTTGAGAGTTGTAGGTTGTATAGATTATTTTATCTACTTTCCCCAGATCTTACTTCTGTTGTCACACCCTTTCTTTTTTATTCTCCAAAATATGATACCAACTTTCTCTGTCTGGTTTGCAAGAGGAAACCCTGTTTACCTAGCTGCAGCCGTAACACGGGAGGTTGGCTTCACTTATCATAA